ACTTTGGAGTAAATCGCACTCTAAACTTTGTTCGTAAAGTAATTCCAACCGCTACCGTAAATGACGCTAGAGAAGTACATAAAATATGCGAACCATGTTAGTCAATAGATCCAGCACATGTACTATGGGAGAAGGAAAAATTGAGCGTTAAAGAAAATTGGGAAAGAGTGGCCATAAACATCACGCATTTTGGCACAGAAAAAATTTTGTATCGCACTGTGGCGATAACTTTCAAGCTCATACGGAAGTATTGCCCTTACTCGAATACTCCGCCTTTTCTTTTGCGAGCGAGAAGAACCATCTGATATTTTGACAGATAACGAAGCAACTTTTAAAACTGTGGAGTTGAGAAGTTTTTTTGCTGTTACCAGCATTGAATTTATAAGAAAATATTGAATAGAATTTAGGTCAGATATAAAAGTATTTTGAGTCACTTATTTCACAATCTCTTTTATTTAAAATATTTGTTCATTGCTTAATTTCTTTAGATATATATCACATCACTAAATTCCTTTAGAAATATATCATACTTATCATGCTTTATTTTTCTAGTTTCATCTGATGATTTATAAAATGAATTAAAATATTAAAGTTAAAATCATAACATTTAATAATTTAATAACAGCTGTTGAGTTTAGTGATCAAAACAGAGTTTACGATTTTTAAAAAGCAAAAAGTTTAAAGGCCAGATGCATTTTTGGATAAGCACTTGATTCGAGCTTTGATTATTATTTTAATTTTGTGAATAATAAGCTATTTGTAAATATTGATTAAAAAAGTTTAAACAATTGCACTGGCCAACAAAAAAAATTTTTTTTTTTGCTGCTGAGGATATTTTTACGAATTTATAGTATATCGGGTGTGCTGATTTCAGAAATGACATTAGTTTTCAACGATTGGCTCTAGTTCTTGATATACAGGGTGTTCCAGATATATTCTTATACAAATATCTTCGTTCATGCATATTTTACAGTAAAATAGTTTTATTTCTTTTTAAAGGGCATACCTTTATATATATATATATATATATATATATATATATATATATATATATATATATATATATATATATATATATACTTTTTACTGTTTTTAGAACACAATGAGTTCTTCACGAAGAGGATGTTTGAATAACCCCAATGCATTCTGCCACATCTGTGGTGGATATTGCCAGGAGAGCCAAAGAAGAAATATTACTAACTTTGTGAAGCAAGCATATCTGGCATACTTTGGAATGAAACTCGGAGACCAAGATAAGTCTTGGGCTCCCCATATTGTATGTAAAACGTGTGTCGAAAATCTACGTCAGTGGAAAAATGGACAAAGAAAAGTTTTAAAATTTGGTGTGCCTTTGGTATGGCGGGAGCAAAAGAATCACGACAGTGACTGTTATTTTTGTTTGGTTAATGTGAAAGGTATCAATCGTTTCAAGAAACGTAAATTTGAGTATCCGGATTTGGAATCAGCAAGGCGACCTGTACCACACTCAAACGATGTCCCCATTCCAGTGTTCACTACACTCCCAGATCTAACAGTGTCTGATGAAGAAGATATGCAGAATTTGGTGTGCGAACATGCAGATAGTGGTAGTGAATATAAAGACAGTACTTCTAAACAGCAACAGTTCTCCCAGGAAGAGATCAATGATTTAGTACGAGACTTAAGTCTATCCAAGCAAGATTCTGAGGATTGATTTTGAATTTCCACAACATATTCCATGGAACATTGATATTTTAGGACTTTTAGGATTGATTTTGAAACACCCCAAATACAATTTTTATAGATTCTATTTAAGAAACCTTTAGGTTACACAAAGCTGTAAAAATTAAAATCCTGCGGGTGGCATATTGTCAGAAAAGGCATTTAAAGGGGGCGAACATATTAAATTCTCATGTTCAGGTGAAGAAACTTCCAGAAACGCTACAAACCTTAAACTTTTACATACTTATGTTAATATCAAATAATGATGTTCTGCCAAAAAAAAAAAAAAATTAATTTTGGGAACAAAGAAAATAACAACGCTTTTGGGGCATCGACCCCAAGTAGGTCAAATAAAAAAAAAGAAAAATATTTTTGTACAATCTTATAGTAAATGAAATTTTAATCATGAATTCAAATTATTTGTTCGTTTTATATTTATATACGTTTTAAAAAAAAAATACCATAGCTTTTGTAGTGTTTGACAAAAAATTGAAATTTTTGCTGAATAAGATAATTTAATTACTAATTCTTTAAAAAAAAAAAAGCAAAGCCCAGCTAGTTCAAACAAATTGAAACCCAGATGAGTTACATGAGACATATTAAAAAAAAATATCAAATTATCTTTCTATTATTTATACTAAGGCATTTCAAACTAGTACATTGCCACAAATCTAGAAGGATGAAAATATTATACCAATTTTCAAAAAAGGAGACAAGAAACTAGTTACAAACTATAGACCCATTAGTTAAACATACACCATTGTCAAAATATTTGAAAAAAAATACAAAAACATATTTTTACTCATCTGTTAAAAATTAATCTGCTAATTCCTGTTAACACAGTTTTTATCCGAGGCCCTTTGCAAAACAAATCTTCTTTCTGTAATTAATTCATGGACGCTTAATTTAGATAGAGGTCTCCGCGTCAATAATGTTTACCTTGACTTTGAAAAAACATTCGACAAAGGCCCACATGAGCATCTTCTTTTGAAACTAAAAGCCTATGGAATTAATGGTCCGGTTCGCTATTGGATAAGAGCCTTTCTCTCAAAACAAAGACAAAGAGTAGTATATGTGGTAGTTACTCTGATTGGGTACCAATAAAAAGTAGAGTTCCCGAAATTTCTGTGGTCCCAGCTCTATTATTCATTATATACGTTAATGATATTTCCAATATAATTAGTTCAAATACAGCACTTTTTGCCAACGATACAAAAATACTTTACCCTATTATCAATATGTATTCACACACCTCACTTAATGATGATATTGATAATTTGGTTAACTGGGCAACTAAATGGGATTTAAAATTTAATGTAGAAAAATGTTTAGTTCTACAGCTAGGCTACAAAAATAAACATCATGTCTATACTTTATATAATCCAGTAAAAAAAACAAGTATTGACATCAAATCTACTACCTTAAAAACTGATCTATGAATACATATTAAAAATAACTTACTATTCTCTAAACATCTATACAAGTTAATAAAGCAGTGCGAATGTTGGTTCTAATAAAAAGATTATTTTCTTTTCTCCACTGGGTTTTAATATATTAAAGGCCAGTTGAGGTTAGAGGTATCAATTGTCCCGATAATACTACTCAATTATTTCTTTGTCTGAATTTAAAAAGATAATAATGAGTTCATATAAGTATTGAACAACTAAACGGTGAGGTTTAACCTTTTGAATATCATTCGATAATTCAATATTTGAGCTAACTGTTTGTATTTTTGGATTGATTTGATAGTTACAAAATAAAGAACTTTGAATATTTTGACATGAGTATTCGTATGGTAATCCTTCGGGAAACTTTTTTCTCATTATCTTGGGAAAAATTGTTATGCTAAAGGACAAGTTTATAAAGAGGCTTGAAATGTTTTTCTTTGTGTTATTACCCTCAAACCTTTTTTTCCTTGAAAAAAAGAAATAGGTGGAGGAAGAAAACTAGTTGGAATAAAATGAAACAGTGAGTTGCGACGACGACCACAACAGTTTTGGTTATTACATTTTACAATTTGTCAGAATAAGTCAGTTTTGGCTTTCTCTGACATGTTACTTACACAACATCCTAATCTGCTCCAAATTGCTTTAACAGTACATATTTTTCACTGTTTGGTTTTTTGTACTCGTTACAAATTTCATTAATGACTTTACTGGACCTTATTTGTGCAAGAAGCTTTCGCAAAATTTTCTTACTCAATAATTTTGTCGCGTGTTTCTCCCTTTTGAATTAAAATGGTTTCCAGAGTGATTAAATTTACATGACCTAGCAGAAAGTATACTTCCTGCTAGGTCATGGCTAACCAAAGCCATTCTTCTCTCTAGCCTATAAAAGGCATTTCTGCGAGGATAATTAATGGCCAAAAACATGCCATCAAGGCCATGCTCTTTGAAATAAGTCTTAGTACAATGAATAATTTTTTTGATTGTAATATGCAATAGAGTGACACAAAAAAATTAAATATAATAATTTTATTTTTAATTTTGTTTTGGTGCCCTAAGAAGTCCTTACGGACTTATCACAGAGCACCGCGGATGAGGATTTAATTGGAAGTTCACGCCTCCTTCCTAAGCGATGTCGCAAAACTTACCCAGATCACCGCGGATGAGGATTTAATTAAAAGTTCACGCCTCCTTCCTAAGCGATGTCGCAAAACTTACCCAGATCACCGCGGATGAGGATTTAATTGGAAGTTCACGCCTCCTTCCTAAGCGATGTCGCAAAACTTACCCAGAGGTGGGGTTTGAACCACGGGTCCTTTATTTATGAGGCAAGTGCGCTACTACTGCGCCACGGCTCATAAATAAAGAAAAAAATTTCATGTCTTGTAATTTAACTTTTTATTTATATCGTAGAATATATCCCTTTCATTAAAAATGTAAAAAAAAAATTTGAGGAGAAAAAAGTTCTTGAGTAAATCCTTACGTTTAAAAATTAGAAAAACAATCAAAATTTTTTATATATGTCGCTAATTCCAAAGCGCAATTTTATGCAAGAAATACTTATTAATCTACACTGATTTATTCTTTAAACCATAAAATAATTAAAATCTTCTATTTATTAAGAAATTTTGCTAAGCTCTTTGTACAAATAAATTACAAATAAAAATTTATTAAAGGCAATAAAATGCAAAAAAAAAAAAAAAAAAAAAAAAAGAAAAATACAAATAAAATAAAAGGAGATAAATATTTGAAATATTATTAAATGATAAAATAAAGAAATTCCAATGAAATTCCAGAAAAAAATGTAGAAAAACTTATCTTAAATATTTAAAGTGATATTAAAAAATATAGACCTGTAATATATACAGTATAGACTATATAATAATTATAAAGAAATAAATTATATAAGAATTAAAAGAAAATTTGAATAACGTTTGTTTCAGACGATTGGAGGAACTATTGTAACAGGAACATTAGAATGTTGGAGAACATAATCACTCACACTACCAATAAACGTACGTCTTAAAGCGTTTAAACCTCGCGCCCCCATAACTATGAGGTTTATTTCTTCTAAATTTGCAGCTTCTATGATAGCTTCACCAGGTTTACCGGTTGCGACAACAGTTTTTTTTGGAATCTACACATAAAAAACAAAAACAACAACAACAAATAAAAAAACTTCCTAAAAGTTTAATAGACTTTTAAAATTTTAAATACTTTTGCAGATTCACATAATACTTCAAACTTTTCCATAATTTGTGAACTTTTTTTGTTTTCATTAACAATAGAATTTAACATTCGTCCGATGGCAACACACAGGGTTCTATTGAAAAAATGTACATAAAACGTACTAAAAACATACAAGATTGAAAAACATACAAGATTGAAAAACATACAAGAGGTTAAAAAATTAAATACAATTTGTATTAAAAGCATACTAGGCTTTAGTGCTACAGAAACTAAAACTTAAAACGGTCATGCCCATAAAGCACGTACGAAGTTAAACTGAATTGTGACTCCCTCCCTCGTGCACAAAACTGTATGCTTTCAACAACATTTTTCCTCCTCTACGTACGTACACATTGTTTATCAAAAAATCAACCTTCTCCCTCTAACGAGATAAAGAGCGAGAAAAAATTAAAACGCATATATACTGGCTGTCTTTTCAAGGAATGGGGTTTTGCACGCATTCATGCGTTAATGGGTAACCCCCTCCCACAAACCTGCATGAGTACTTTTTGGAAAACCCCAAACTCAATATTACAAATTAATATAGAAACATCAAACATACCTGAAAAACTGAAGAGTGGAAGCTTTGGTGGTGTAGCACAGTGAACCAAAAGAAGAAAGTCTCCTTTTTTGTATATGTTCTCAATGTAAACTTAATGCAAATTATTTTTTATATATAAATATATTTTATATGTTTTTGTATTATAAAAAAGAAATATCATTAAAAAAAGTTTTTAAAAAAAAAACTTTTTTTACAAGTTTACTATTTTTAAACTTCTCCTTAATTCTTTTTATACATACACACATAAATAGACATGCACATATTAACATATTTATATTTGCACACATGCTTAATCTATGTAAACTAATTTCATTAAAATATTGTTAAATTGTGTAAAATTAATTTTGAGCCTAAAAATATTTCTTTATAATAATTTTGAAGGTTCCTACAAGACCTATTTTTTTTTTTTTTTTAAGTTGATTAAGGTGCCCCAAGAAGTCCTTACGGTCTTATCGCAAAGCACCGCGGAGGAGCATTTAATGGGAAGTTCACACCTCCTTCCCAACTGATGTCGCAAAACTTGCCCAGAGGTGGGGTTTGAACCACGATCTTACGTTTCTGAGGCAAGTGCGCTACCACTGCGCCACGGCTGCTTAAATATTAAATAAAAAAAATATTTAGAACAAAAAATGTGGAATGTTTCAAACACCTAACAAATATACTTTGAAATTTACAATAAACCAAAACTTATTCTCGTCTGGCTTCTTGTTCAACAAGTTGCATCTTTTTACTGTATCTGTCCCTTCATGCTATAAAACTTTTATTCAGTTTTTTTTCCTTGCGCATCAAAAAAACTTTATAACTCCTACCCATTTTCATGTTTTCCTTTTTTATACACCCTACAACTTTTTAAGTCTTCAGTTAACTGTTTTCTAGTATTTTAACTAGTTCTCTATTTTAAAGTAACTCATAACTTAACAGTTGTTGCTTGCAATCTTGTTGGAAGTAAATTAGAGTTAAAAAATATATAAATAAAAGCCAGTATTTAATAAATAGTAAGTGTAAACATAAAATTATAATATATAAAGTATTGTAATTTTTTTTTCTAGCCCGTGCAATTAACCCCTGTTAAATCTTATAATTTTGCCAGGGCCGGGTTTGCATTAGGTCTCATTTTTAGCTGGGGACTGGGCTAGGACTAAGGCCCTAGTGACTTACTAACTATTAGTATGTGTATCTAAAGTGTTTTTTATAATTTTATGTTTGTATGTAGTCTTTTTATGTATTAATTTTTTATATATTTATAGTTTGTTTTTTGTATAATAAGTTTGTGTTTTATTAAAAATATTATTTTTTAATATAAAAGGTTGCTCCCTTCCCTGCCTACCCAAGGTAAGGTGGGTTTCAAAATTTTGATGATAAATGGTATACACTTGGATATAAAAACACATTGATTTGACAATAATATTGGGTGGAAGTGGGCAAGTATTGCCACCTGATGCCAAATAAACTTCTGTCCACCCAACCCAAGGTATCTTAATTATAATCAATAGTGGCCTGGTAGAGTTTATTTTATAAATCTGAAGAAAAAGTTATAAGTTTCAATAAAAAATTTAATTTTTTTTTAAAATCTAGATTTTGAACATATTAGATGATATTTTAGAAGCCCCTCTAATGCCCAAATTTGCTTTTATATACACTTATTTTTATATCCTAATGTACATACTTAGACCTTTCTTTTGATACCAAGTTGTATGAATTTTAATAAGAACTGACAAAGTTATGTCATTTTAAGTGAAGAAAAACTAAAAAAGTTGAGAATAATTTGTTCACGGTTTCTTCAACAAATCCATATATCAAAAATTTGGTATTTAAAATGCTATAACTTTTTGTAGAATTTTTCAATTATAGTAATTTTTTCTCCTTGAAAGAGTTTTTTTCAAGGTCTTTCTAATGATATATGACAATCTAGTATTTGATTATTTTATAAATTTAATGTCACATACCATATATATAAACGTATATATATATATATATATATATATATATATATATATATATATATATATATATATATATATATATATATATATATATATATAAAATGGTAAAGACATTGTTGTATTTATAATTAATTTATCAAATTAATTAAAAAAGTCAACAACTTACATTCAAAGGCTTTTTCTGCGTACGAGCTCCCATCAATTGCAATAAGAACTTTTCTACATTCCATTTTTTTTATTTAGCCAAACAATTACAGGATAAGTCTGTCCTCGATGCTTATTATTTGAGTTTTAAAATTACTGAAAAGTTTGTTGTTGAATATATTTTGATTTTCAACATTTTTTAAAGTTCTCCTACATCGATGATATCTCTGATTATTATCAGCGGTAAATATCACAAAAAGATTTTAAAAATTTTAAATTTTTCGAATACAATTATAAAACGTTCACTTTAAAAGATTACTAAAATCTACTGCAAATAAGCGTATTGCTTTGTTTAAATTTTGTCAGAACTATTCGAAAACTATTAGTAACTAACTAGTATTAACGTTTGTTTTCTAAATGTTTAGCTAGAATCTATTGAATGAAATTTGTTTTATTTTTATGAATAATTTATTTTCATATGGCATAAATATAAAATAGTTTTTACAATTTTGTCACCGCAAAATCAAATGACTCAACATTTGCTAACACAAAATTGGAAGGGAATAAAAATTGAAAACGATTTTTTGGCAAAGTTTGAAATCTTTTAATAAAATTTGATATTAAAAAATTTCAACTTAAAATTGTTCTGGAATTGATACTTCATTTACATATTAAAAAACAAGCATAAAGTACTAGACTTTATGTTCAATTCATTCATAATTGACTGTTTCCTCTATGGAAATTAAAAACACGGAATCTATTTCGGTTTCCGTATTCACTTTGACAAAAATAATTAAAAATAACTGTTTTAAGATTTATGTATTTTAAAGTCAAAATCTTGTAATGACTCATTCCATTCAAGAAAATATTACTTTGAGCCAACAATATCAACAAAATATGAACTTGCTTTGTTCCAATATGCTACGATAATTCAATAAAAAAAAAAAAAATTCATCATTTTTAACTCCTCCCAAAGAAAAGTATTTTCAAAAAAATTTTAATCACGGGAATTAAAGTTTCTTTGAAAATACTTTTCTTTTACAAAGCCGAAGACTGAACGACGTCAGCGGAAACATTGGCGAGAAGCACAGCAGCGAGGTAGAGCAAATGCAAAGCCACGCTTTTCATCGGTAAATGATTTATGTATAGAATCTCTATTATTTTCTCATTTTCTAGTTCATCAACTCTAAATTACAATGAATCTAGGCAGAAAATTCAAGGCAGAAAAGGCATTGGAAAGGAACGAAGTAAAGCGTATTGACTGATAAACAAGCTACAAATACAGATAATGAAGCTAACTAAGCAAGCTGATAAGTATCGAAAGCGCGCAAAAGGATTAAGCAAAAAACCATTAAACAGTAACACGCTACGCAGTAAAATGTTAAACATGACCCAAGGTTTGAATGGGCGCCCTGAAATCAAAAGAGCACTTCTGTTTCATAATGTTTTATGTAATACCTTACGCTAGAAGTATTCAGCAACCAAATCAGACAGAGAAAAATTTGTCATAGGAAAAATAATTACATCTAAACTGATGAAGAAGTATTAACTGAAGAAAACTCATCAAGATTTGACTGGTATTAGCATACGCTGTTAATCAAAATCAAATTGCTTACATAATCATGCAAGATATAAGTCTTCAGTGTATCGCTATGCATCTGTTGCATTCTATGAAAGAGATGATAACAGTGAAGCAAGAGAGACGTTATCACGCGTAAATGTGAAAAGTATGCTGTAGAAAACTAAAACATAAAAGTTTCATATGCTACATTTTGTGCTTGCTGACTATTTTGTGTGGTAATTCCGACTGCACCTGACGGAGAAACGTGCCTCAGCAAGCTGCATGAAAATGGACATCTTTTTATTAACAAGCTTGCTCAGCTGAAGACCGTCAAACTGTATGACTGTTGGTTATTGTATAAGAAAAATAAATATTTTGCAAAAGAGTGCTTTTTCAGAATCTGTGAAACATGTTTTTTAAAAGATGAAGAATTACTGGAAAGAGAGTTTGATGGAGAACAACCATGCAAATGGCGGCAGTGGAACACAATTCAGGAGAACAGGCGTTTGGAGTGATAAGCCAACAACACAGTATAGGAACAAGTGCCATATGCTAACTTGTCAAGTATCATATGTTAACTTGTCATTATTTGTACAATAAAGGATTTACTCGCGACAAGACACGATCGGAAGCACTCTAAAACGTACCACTGATCAAGTAGTAGACATGGTGTCATGATAACTTCAGCTGCAAGTTTTGTAGAAGCTTTACACCAGAAGAATGTTATAAATTATTTCTTGTCAGCAAAAAAGATATTGGTGTTATTGTTAAAATGATCCCCGAAGGAGTGAAAACTGTTGCAGTAATAATCAAACTATATCAATAACAATTCATTGAAAAGGAAATTGTATCTGTTTGTAGTTTTGCAAGATGCCGAGCACATGTAATTGCCTTAAAGCACGGAGGGTTCAGTTTAGTCCACGGAGAGTGGTCGCAGGAAATAATAATAAACATGTTGCTGAGATTGAATCCGATCTGCTCAATACAGCAACAGATATTGTACAACTAATTGAAGATGGGCAATCTTAAATAAGCCACACAATATGATAAATGCTGATGGTGTTTCAAATGTCGAACAACATCCGAACTTATTATGCTCGAAGTGCACGCCTGGTGTATTGTTCAATACAATAATAATCTTTACATTTGGCAGGTACTTCACAAAGATGCAGATTCAGCTGAATGTGAAGTATCCACATTACAAATGATAGAAAAGAACAAATTTAAATATCCAACTCGTGAAGACAAAATATGGTATAAATGGGATCTAATAATCAAAAAAAGCTTCACTAACGGTTGAAGCTTCTAGATCTGCAATGTCGTTTAGTGAAGAAGATCGGAAGAGCATCAATGCATACAATTAATCGATTTCATCATGTTTTCATTATATTATTGTGTAGTTTACTGCACTTAATAATTTCAATAATTTTTTTAATTTGCTTATACCTTTATTTCTACTAAATTGTTTTTATTTCTACTAAATTCTACTTTATTTCTACTAAATTGGCTAAAAGTATTGAAATTCTATATAAGGTCAGATACTATCTAAGTAAACAAAATTTAATTCAACTTTACTACTCATTTATTCATAGCTATATAAATCATGCAAATATTGTTTGAGGAAGTACCTCTAAAAGTAAGTTGCAAAATCTCTACCATCGTCAGAAACACGCAATGCGTTTAATATGTTTTGAAAATCGGTTTTTCTCATTCAAACATTTTATTTAAAAACGTTAAAGCGCTTAACGTTTACAAACTTAATGTCTATAGTATTTTATGTTTTAAGTTTTGTTGTAAAAGTGAACGACCATTGTCCAATTTCAAAGATTTTTTTACTTATAAAGCTATAAACAAATATGCTTTACGAAATAATAATTTATTAATTGAACCCTTTTGTCAAACAAAGTTTAATCAATTTTGCATTAACTATCGAGGACCGTATTTATGGAACAAAATTGTTGTTCCAAAATTTGATTTGTCAATTTCGTTTTCCGTTTTTAAAACTAAATTAAATTTTTTTTTTACTTTTGATAATTTGTAAAATTATTTTCAGTTTTTGTTTCTTCTACATTGTTAATAGTTATTAGATCAATTGTATTTTTATTTTATCATATATACACGTATGATATATTATATATGGTTCTGGCGACAAGATCATTTGGATCTTCTTTCAGATACCAAGTTTATATATTGTTATATTGATATATTACGATTAATAATTGTAAACTAAAAAAAAAAAAAAAAAAAAAAAAAAATGTTTAGTTTTTAAAAAAATTATATTCAAAATAGTGGGTTTGCGTTTTAAAAAAATATTTTTGTGTAAAACGATTAAAAGCTTTGAATTAAAGTAAATTATTTTTTCAAAAATTGATTTATTAGGTTTTAAACAACTGTTTAAATTATCAAAAAGTATTCAGCACAAAAATCACGACCAAGAAAATGTTATTATTTCTTCCGGACCACAATAGTTGGTGTATGCGTCAGATTTTTATTCAATCTCTACTACTATTTAAAGTTTGTCATTTGGTTCCCAGTGTACCGTGTAGCAATAAGTTTTCATGTTCTTAAAAAAATATTTTTGACCAGAGACCTTTTAAAAGTCTCTAAAACAAAAAAACAAAAAAAAATATTTAGAAGCTTTATTTACTAATTTCAAGTTATTAATAGTTATTTTTTTAAATCTGTTTTATTTTATGAAGAAATAATTACTAAATTTATTTTATATATTTGTTCAGAGTTGATAATGCCGCAAGGCGGCAAAACTTTTTAGGGAGGCGGAAGCTGTTAGCGGCAGCCTCCCATTCAATATTTAGCGGCAAAATGTTTTTTCTTCCGCCTCCAGTACCTTCTGCTTTTCTATTGGCGACCGCAGCCAGAGTCAATTTTTGGAGGCGAAATATTTTGGAGATGAACATATTTATCTCCCGCCGGCGGATGTAATGTAAAATAATTGCTTGCTTGCTTTAAAGCAACTAGAAACAAATTTTAAATATTTGACATCAAGTTTCATTTTATATGATTATTTGCAAAAGTTTTGAGTTTTTAAAAAAATTCTAATTTTTTTTTAAACTAATAAATTAAGTAGAACAAATTAGTAGTTTTATAATTCAAAACAAAACTTAAAAGTTGGAAACTTTACTTCTATGCCATTGGCGAGTAAATCTTTTTGACAAAAAATTAAAAAATAAGAAGGTAAGTATAATAAGTAGACCTAATTTAATTGACTGATTTTAGTCAAAGTTTTTAGAACAAGTTGATATGTACTTATTTTTAATAATTAGATATTGTAAGAGTTATTAAAAAAATATCTGCTAATGTTTATTAAAAATTTGCGACCACGCTGTATTACGCTAATAGTATTGCCAAATTACAACAAAAAAAAATTAAATTTATAAACTTTAAATATATATATACTTTTGTAAATATTATTTATATTTTACTCTATACTTTTAAAACGCTTAAAAATATAAATTAATCTACTTTTATACGTTTTAAAGTTTTAAACAATAACACGTTTTAAAGTTTTAAACAATTAAAACATTTATTCAATAGTCCTTTAAAAACAACCACTCTGAATTTTTTCTTTTTTTTTCAAAAAATTGTTTAGTAGTCAATAAATCTTATAAAACAAAACTTTGATGCCAAATATTTAA